TGCAAACTTCATAATGCAGATATTATAGCCAGTGATATCAGCTGCTGATTGATACCAGAGAGAAAGATATATTTTGTTCCTAAATTGGGATCTCATTCCTATATTACTAATAGTTACTATTATTATCTATTTTAAATAATCCATAAAAAGTTACTCAGGACTGTAAAAAAAAAAAATCTAGATTGTCCCCATGTAAACACTGATCAGAAGAAATGAAATCAGGATCAACTTTCCTTTCTAAACATTTTGGTTTTGCTGTATGTAGGAAATGGCTTTCTGGCATGTCCTTAGAAAGTACTTGTGTGCTACGGGTATATCTACAGCAGTGTCCAAAAGTGGTAGATAATAATATGGGTTTGAGGGGCAGGGGAGGACATTTAAAAGGACAGTGAGGCACATACCTCACAGACCGAATGGAACTTCTACAGTTTAATGATTTTTTTTTTGTACTCTGAAAGACACAAAGTTGCTTTAGACCTCATAGTCCCAAGGGCAAGACAGAACTTAACTCTGCAGATCTGTAATGTGACGTGCAATTAATGCTCTATGAGCCGTTTGCCAGAAAAGAGTTCAATGGTCATCAGTTAAAACACTGTGATGATAATTTCAATTACTAGCTAATTTCTAGATTTGAGAATATACTTTATTTTTTAAGTATGACTGCATTCCTTACTGAGTCCTCATATGAGCTGAGAGTAGAAATCTTTGGCCCTTGACTATTCAACAGGCGAATTCTGCTATGAGAGGGAGCAACTGAGCGGGAAAATATGACTTTTCAGGAGTGTTGTTTAGAAAGAGGAGCCCATTTTTAAAAGGGATATAGGGGTGAATTAGCAAATAGTTGCCCTAATAATTTATTAGAGGCTTTGTTACATTCATCGAAAAGGAGTCACTGAGGTCGCTTTTAAAATGAAGCAATCAAGTTTAAAAAAAAGACTTTCAAAGAAACCCAACACAAAGAAATCGAAAAGGCATGCCTCATCTCTTTGATCCTTGAGGCCAGAGTGGCAGCAGCTTGTTTGAACAGCAATGGGGTAGGCAGGACAGATGTCTGCAGAGGTATGGAAAGTGAGGTCAAGCCACAGAACTTAACCCAAAATTCAGCACAATCCAGAACTTTCGAGGAAATAGAATGAGGAAAGGACACATATTGTGTCAGCTTTGTTTCTTAATTGTATGTTTGTGTTTTACTTTGGTGTGTTCACAGTAATGAATGAACTTCCCTTAGCAACTTCCTAAACGTAAGGATTGATTAGCAACTCTCCAAGAAAGTAGTACAGTAACCCGAATATAGGTCCGTAATAAATTCTGATTGGTGGCGATAAATATTAATTCATTAAAAACAGGAAGATTTCTCTTCTAACTACTATCCCACCCAGTTGACTACATAAGACAGCATGGGAGATATTCAGGGATTAGTGCAGGAGCTATGGCGGCTCTTCTTTGGTGTGGTCAATGGGTTTGAAGTTCACAGTTTTTTGAAGTCTTTTGCCCCGGAGGTTACCGAGAGTAAGTTATTAGGCCTACTCACTGAGAACACGGAGAGCTGAGTCATCCACCAGAGCTTCTTCCTCCCACACCGTATGTTGTCCTGGGATTCACTTGAGAGCTAGCCAACACGAGAACTAGATGCAGAGCTTGACAAACATATCACTTCCAGATCAATCTTCACAGCTCTCTAAGTGAGGTGCAATCACTGTAAATCTTTTTTTTTTTTTTTTTTGCAGTTGATTTATATTGTAATCAGGGCAGAGAAGAATCACAGACAAGGCCAAAAGTGGAAAAGTAGCACACATTTTTCATGGAAAGTTTTCCCCCCATAAGTCAGAGCACAAGACAGTATTAGAGAAAAAAACATTACAAAGAACTAATCATGCTCACTGACATGATATGGGAGAATGCTAAATCATCTGTGTTTTCTGTTTAAATGTATATATTTCAGTTGATTAAAAAAGCACATGGTGAATTGATCTTACAGCTTATAAAAGCAATATTTCAGCTTCGGTGTTTTTTATTCTTTTTTTTAATCAAATTATCTCCCAAAGCATTTTCACTGAAGTTTATTAACAAGGCAATGCAGCTATTAATGCTTTGCAGTGCACTCTTGCAAAGTTAAGTAAGAGACATGACTTTTCCTATGCATACTGATCATACCTTCTGAAGGTCTAAAAGAACTAAAGATTGCATAGCTGAGTGGTTTCGAAGAAAGAAAATTGTTACTTTGTCTTTTTTTATGCGATGTTATTAGATTTTTGGCGGGGGAGCATTCATAGGAAACATTATATTGCTAGATTTTAACTGGTATTTCAAATATTATCAGATTTCCAGAAAAGTACAGTTTGAAATTCAGAGAGACCAAACCAGCTGCAGGCCTTTGTGCTGGGATAGCGGTTGGGAGAGTCATGAACCTTAGGTGGATAACCAGGCTGCCTTTCAGAAAATGCAGTGTAATACTATTTGTATTAACCAGGAAAATAATCACATCTCTGACAACATACCAAATGACAAAGAGAAAGTGATGCTTTACTTTTTTATTTAGCATAGTAATATTAAAAAGAGGAAAACAGAGAACTACTAACCC